GCAGCCCGCCTCCTTGGGAGCCCCCCTAGCCCCGACCACTGCAAAGCGGCGAAGGTCCCGCTGGGCTGGGCTCCCCCGGTGACCGTCCGGCTGGGTGTGTCTGTGCCTGGGGCGGGGAGGGTCGCCTGTCCGCCGAGGAAGGCGCCGATCCGGCAGGAAAGCAGCCGGGGGGCGAGCCGCCGCGTGGAGCCAGTTCCTCTGGGGTTGCGGAAGGTTTGGGCTCGGGGCCTGCAGGAGCGCGCCGCCTGCCCTGGGCGAGGGTGGATCTCCCTCCAGAAGGGAGACCCCCGCCGGATTGCCGCTGCCGCTTCCTCCGGCTCTGAGCTCCTCCTGTGCGGGTTGCCAACTCCTGCTTGGGAGATGCCAGGGGAGGGTGAGGTGTTTGGGGAGGGCGCTCCGCCGAGCGTATTGCCAGAGCGCCCACCTTTCCACGTCATCCTTTCCCCCCCAGGGGAGCTGATCTCTGTCGCCGGGAGAGCCGTTGCAATTCCGGGAGATCTCCATCCCCCGCCTGGAGGTTGGCAACCCTCCGATTGGCGGAGGGGAGCGGATGGGCAGCCTGAGGTCACCTCCCAAGTCCCTCTGGGGCACCGGTTTCCTGAAGGTGCCAAGGGATGCCGAGTTGGGATTGTCAGCTATCCCATTGAGTTCTATGGCTGTGCTTTCTGACAGCCACTTGATATGCAGGGACTGGCGCTTGCAGGTTCTGTTCTGGTTTTCGGACCTGGGCAGGTATCCTTCCAGGGGGGTGGCTGCAGAAGGAGCCCACGGTGCCCTAACCGCACTAACCAGACGTATTTCCAGCGGGAGCTTTTGGGAAGTCAGGTCCCGTGACCTTAGATGCCTCGGAGCAGACGTCCGTAAAAAGAGTAATCAATTCCGTCTGGGTGGTTGAGGACCACTCCCAGCTGTGGATAGACAGACATGCGCTCTGATGTGTCCCGTGAAGTGAGCTCTTGACTCATGCAGAACCACGCCAGAATAAATCTGGTTAGCTTCTCGACAGCCACTGGAGTCCTCTTTTCTTTGGTGCACGTTGAGATCCTCTTTTAAAGGCGCCAGAGTGACTTGAGGTTGGCTTGTTTTCTTCCTAGCCGCTTGGCCACCTTGTGTGTGTGTGTGTTCGGTGCCCTCCAGTGGCTACTGTTCCCTCTAAGCTGAGTTAGCGTGAGCTAGCTCACCATTTTTTAGCCTCCGGCTCACACATTTTTTGTCTTAGCTCAGGAAGGATGGCTCCAGAGCAAACGAATTTATGCATTAGCCAAATGGCTCGCTCTCAGCTTTAATGCCAGGAGCTCACAAAGTAGACTTTTTGCTCACAAGACTCCACAGCTTAGAGAAAGCACTGCTTCCAACTCATGGCGACCCTTTGGATTAATGCCTTCCAAACCATCTTCTCGTTAACAGCCTTGCTCAGGAATTGCAAACTGAGGGCGTTTGTGGCTTTCTCGGTTGGGTTGACCCATCTCATGTTGGGTCTTCCTCTTTTCCGGCTGCGTTCCATAGCGGCACAAAAGGACAAGGAGAGAGAGGGGCCGTTGCTTTCTCTCCTGACACTTAAAACACCACTCCTGTGCTAATGCCGGTATGCATGGGCGATGGTTGTCAACATGGGTCAGAGAGCGAAGGAGCTGTTTTTCAACGGAACGCATGCACACAGACATTAGCGGAAGACTGGTCCTTTCAGACCCAGGCGTGAAAACGCCCCTTTTCCTTGGTAACTTCTGATTTCTCCACGTGCCGGTCCAATCACAGAAATCCCTCACCGTGTGAAATGATGCAGTAAAGTCACCATGGAGATCTTTTGTCTCATATGTGTGTGTTTGGTTCAGGAGGGCAGGCGGTAGAGGCCTCTCATGGGCCACAGTCGCCAGTATCAGAGTGCCTGCAACGGATGGCTCTTAGCTTAGCCTTGGTTTTAGCCCCGCGTGCAGATTTGGGGGCAAAGGTGCTTTCAGAGGATGGATTCCACGTGTACATTCTGAGAAGCACTTTCAGGTGTGAGGGCCGTACCGTGTCAACTGCTGCATGTGTTTATTGGCTTTTGGAAACTGTTAAGAAGCAAACGGTGTCGTGGGATTTTTAAAAATTCGTCCCTGTGTGGTTTGGCTTTGCTGGAGCAGCTGGGGGTACTAATGGTACAAATTGGCAGCTGGTGTTCTTTGCCTTCTAGGAAAGGCTAGCAAACCTTTGAATACGGTGTGTTGCCCAATTCTAGGTTACATCAGGCTTCATAATGATGACAGCGGTAAATGTGCATGGGGTCAGCATTACCAAAATGCTTATTTATTAATGCTCGGGGCTTTTTAACTAAGCGATGTGGCCTGCTTGGCATTAATTATGGAGCACTTTTTGATCTGTCTTCCTGGATCAGACCAGAGACCGAACAGCCATCCAGTTGCCTCCCGATTGCTCCCAAGGGGGGCAAAATGACAGAAACCCCACCCCATGCAGCTTTTCTCCCAGCTTTGGGTATTCAGAGGTCCAGTGCCACTGTACATGGAGGTTCGCCTTAGCTGTCCCAGTGAATACTTGTTAGTTGTCCAGAAATTAATTTTTTTAATGTTTCGAAGCTGTTACCATTTCTTCTATCTGTGAGTTCCATAAGCTAATTGCGCACACCGTAAATAAGTATTTTCTGTTATTGGCCAGGTTCAACTCACCCCAGTCTCTGGTCCCATATGAGAGAGAGAAAATATATGTTACCTCCTTTGTAACTTTATAAATGAATCACGTCCCCGCTTAACCCAAGTCATCTGGATTTTTTTGCAAATGACTTTCTTGATGCATTGGGCCCTCCTGATTTTCTTAAAGCCGCCTTGGGGCTGCTCCTAGTATGTCAGCCGGCGGAGCGTGTGTTAATGCAGTCGGTGTTTCTGTAGCCCACGTTATCTGGATTCTCAAGGATTTCACAGCTCTGTGCGTGTGGGTGGGTTTGCGTCGAACAAAATGGCTGTTTCGAATCCTCCCGAGTGAGGTTTTGAGTCCAGTGAAAAGAACGACCTTCTGTACTTGGAGACGGGGGAATTGTGATAGGTCAGTCAGGGGAAACAAAGCGTCCGGTTGTCCCTTTTAAAATAAATTCCTTTCAGAGGAACTTCTTGTTCTCGCGCTGGTTGATTCCTTTTTCTCGGCTCCCTTTTTTGTCCTGGTACTTCTTTGCTTTATCTCTCTCTTTTTTTCTCCCCCACACAAGCTGCAAAGTGTTACCTCTGTAGATTCTCAACGTTCCCATCTGCTGACTGTGGTTCCTCCATTCCCGGACTGCACATGGCTAGTGGAATGTTGGCAAGGCGCGCGGGTCATTTCCCCCCACACACACTGCCCGCCCTCTCTCGTCCTTCGTGGCTTAATTTTTCCAAGATAATCTTTGGACTAAAATTTGGGCTTTCCATGGGCTGGTTTGTGCAGTTGACCTGGGCTTGGACTGCAGCTCTGTTCCAGGTGTGGACATGCATGTTTGTGCTGGGATTGTGTACTTCAATGGTCCCTATGGGGGAAACTCCCTGCATGCAGAAAGCCAGCATGACAGGTATAAGGATTCCACCAGACCTTCTGTCTGGCATAAACTGGTGTCCAGTGAGGGGTTTTATGTTTCTTCAGAGGGAACTTTTCAGACATGCCTCCCGCCGCAGCGGCGGAGGCCAGATAATTCTGCTATTTTTTCCAGAAGCGGAACTTACATTGGCGTGGTCCACGTGAGGAAGGAGGGAAAGGCTTGAGCCCTTACAAACGGGATTGATTTATCTACACCCTGTGTGACCCAGAGCTGAGGTGTGCTGTGAAATCCAAGTGCAAAGACGGCTTAAGTCTAGGGAGGAGGGGCTGTGGCTCAATGGTAGAGCATCTGTTTTGTATGCAGGAGGTCCCAGGTTCGATGCAATGCATCCCATGAATTGTATCAAATTCTAATAAACGTTATTGCAGTGACGCCCCCTGGAATTCTGTGCTTCCAGTTGCCAGTACAGACAGCCACCCTCACTCGTGCGTAGAGGCCCAGTTCTGCATTCCTGTAACGCCCCAGCAACCAGTCCTGTGTGCGCCAAACCTATTCCCCTCTAAGTAATGTCTATATGGAAGAAACTGGTGGGCAGGGCAACTGGGTGCATCTTCTAGGCACAGCCAGCCCCTGGAAGGAGATGCTGGCATGGAAAGTCCTGCGAGGTTTTCCTTGCTGAGTGGAGCAGTGGGGAACCAGACTGGGAAAGCGGCGGCCGAATTGTTCTGGGTTGCATCTGCACAGGGCAGTGGTTGAACTGCGGATTCCAGCAGAATCCGGGGCCATGTCTGGAGTGAACTCTAGGGTAGATTTGAAGTGGTCCCCTCCAAGGAATTAACACAGAGGGTGGCTGGATTGAAGGGCTCCATCCCCACTGTCCTTTAGATTAGAGAGCCAGTTTGGTGTGATGGTTATGAGCGGCGGACTCTGATCTGAAGAACCGAGTTTGATTCCCCACTCCTGCATGTAAAGCCAGCTGGATGACCTTGGGCCCGTCGCCGTTCTTTCAGAGCTCTCTCAGGCCCTTAAATCAAGTCTAGCTCACCACCTAGTGGCACACAACTCTGAGAGCTAGAATTTACAGCTGCCAGACAATCATAGGATCTCCGGCTAGTCCACACACAATGCGGTACGATAGTTAATTGGTTCTGTGTCCTTTAGAGCTCCGGAGGCAGCGGAAGAGGGCCCCGCCTCCTCCCACCTGTTCCTTCTGGCACCCCCTCCCCTCTCCTGTTGTGGTGTGCAGAAATCCAGGTGTGCCACACAGCAGGCAGCAGAGGCGGAGGAAACGACAGGATGGCAGAAGAAGGTTGAAGGAGGCGTCGCTGGAGTTGCCAACCCCCTAGAGTTCTTCTAGGATGACAACATCTCCAGACTGTGGACATCAGTTCCCCCACGGGGGGGGGGGGGG